TTTATTTTTTTGGTTTTTCTCCGGTACCGGGAACCGAACTCACGACCTTGCACTTGCCAGGCAGGCGCTTTGCCGCTGAGCTAAATCCCCAGCCCCTTAAGTTTTTAAATGTATGGAAATAATAAAGGAAATATATTTTAAGTCTCTAAGACAAATTTTCAGTGTTCTTTTCTCAAACAGAGCCTTAATTACTTTCTTAGAAACAATTACAATTTCTTTTCTGAGAAAAACCTTAGTGCTATGGAGAAATAAATTTGTAAAGAGGGGTATATTATTTCCTAATGATATGTTAAAGGTTGGCTTTTAAATGCAGACATGCACACTGCAAAATATTTTCAATTTCTTTTGGAGAAGAATATTAATTCTGAAAGTATCTTAGTTTTAATAACACCATTTCTATACATAAAATATAGATGAAAGAGAAGAATATACACAAATGTCATTCCTATTTCCATTCTTGGTGGGAAATACATCTCTCCTTGGCTTTGGCTTAAAACAATGAGGCGCTGCATAGAAAATTAACACAGGTTAGAATAGCTAACCAGACAGTCATTCCCTGTAACTAAGCTCTGGTCTTGTATGGAGAAATAATTGCATTTTACAAAGACACAGAAAGCAGATGATCATCCAGGCCCTATTGCTCATTTCTCTTCTGATTTATCTTTTAATTCAAGATAAATATGTCAAACCTTCTTCTAAGAGTCTACAGTATGGAAAATGTTGGGATACCGTACCTGAAGTCTTACCAAAACATTGCTTTATTGTCCGTGACACCAAAAATTAGTCCAGTTTAACAGGTTCCTCAATAAAATGAAAAGGAATGTTTTCATACATAAAACATTACTACCTGACTTTAAGCTGGGATTTTTTTCAATTAAGCTCAATTATTTAACTCCAGTTTTTGTGGATGTTTTTATCCTGTCTTCAAAGACATAGTACCAGCAATGCTTGGCATTGTTTGAGAAAAGATGCAAAGTGAAATTAAGAACTCAGATTCTGGAAATAATGGTTTTTATTCTGATCTGAATGTGCTTGTGACATTTTACAAGTACTGCAGTTCTCCATGCCTCAGTTTCTTCAAATATAATAATGGCTAGCAATCTCTTTGGGATTTGGTAAGGACTAAATTAACTACTGTAGCCCAGCACCTGGAGGTGTCCCTCCATGTAATCAAGTATATTGAAGTACTTACTACACATACCTCAAACTCCAGTATTTATCATTCCTTTAATTCTCACAACAATGCTATTTTTTATGTTAGAAAATTAAGAATCAGATAAACGAACAAGTTGATCTGAATGTAAACTGTTTACAAGTAGTAGATCTTGAGCAACAAAGAATCAGAATCCCAAAATGTTTAACTTCAAAACTAACTATTGTTACACTTTTCAAATAAATTTTGGTGCAGAACTAAGTTTACCGTGTTCTTAAAGCTCAACCTTAGGCTAGATCTTAAGCCTTAAGTTTGAATGTCATTGAGTGGATTCCAGTTCACTTCAAATTCCTACTGGTGTGCTTAAAACAAATGGAATTATTTCCTAAAATATATGCTTTATCCAAACAAGAAATAATTAGGACATCTGGGATACTCCAAATATTCATAAGGTTACATTAACTGATACTTCAGTAGAGTAGAAAGACCAAGAGCATTTAAGTTTCCCTGAGCTGCAGTAAACTAGAACAGAATCTCCCCAAGACCAAAACTGAATGGAATGAATACACTTTTTTCTTTAACTTCTGTCTCAACAAACATTCATTATTAAAATAGAATAGGGGCTGAGGTGTAGCTCAATGGTAAAATGCTTGCCTAGCAAGCTTGAGGACCTGGGTAACATCCCCAACACTGCTTAAATAAATAAACAGAAACTTGCGGACTTATTAGGAGTGAATGATTTAATATTTACATAATCTATTTGATTTTTTTTTTGAGACAGGGTCTCACTCTGTAGTCCAGACTGGCCTTGAACTTATGGTGATCCTCCTGTCTCAGCCTCTTGAGTGCTGGAGTTACAGGAGTGCATCACCAGGCCCGGATTGCTGCATAATTTTTAAAAGAAAATATACAAATACCAAGTTGGGTTTAGCAATTAAATATCACAAACTTTGCTTTCAGAATGAGCTCTGACCCGGGCTGGATGTGGGTGACAATTTCGTATGTAGTTTGTACCAAGGAGATGATTTGTCTGGGCTGTCTGTGCCTTTCAGCAAGTGTGGAGGCCAAAGGTATCCAGAATTGTTATTTAGTCTTGACTCCATGTCATCCATTTTGGCCTGGAGTCATTTCTAAAGAGCAGATTTATTTATATTCTCCAGTGTTCTACATGAATGAACACCTTGATTTGAAATTATTTCATAACATCCCAATAAAACCAAATTCCATTTTTTAAAATGACTGGATGTGATTTTCCTCCTAAGTAGCTCCCAAACAGTTTAAACATTGATCCATAAATAAAATAACGAACTGGACGATCCAACTGTCATGTAAACACAAGGTATTCTCATCAACAGCAGCATTACTATTTTTAGCTGCTCTTGAGCTTGTTCTTTCACCACATGTGGTATTCTTATCATAGTACTTTTCTTGAGAAGTAATAACAGCATCTTAACCATTATTTCTTTTTAGGAGCATATTTACAAATTGATGAAAAGTGATTCGTACCCACGTTTTATAAGATCCAGTGCCTATCAGGAACTTCTACAGGCAAAGAAAAAGGTATTGGTTCTTTGTGACCTTTTTTTTGTTTTTACCTAGTTCTCAGTTAAAATTATGTAGATTAATTACTGAGGCTGGGCCCGGGGTACTGAATAAACGGTAAGTGAACATACTCCAAAATCTCCCCACACACATTTCATTTTATAAGAGCCATTTAAACCATTTGTTTTTGTTGGTTGGTTGCTTATTATATTATTTTTGCTTTTTGTTTGTTTCTGCAGATGTTCATGCTTTACAACGTTTATTAGATGTTCTTTTCATGTTTCTGGTTAATCTTGTAAACCTAGTTTAAAGAAAATCAAAATATAACAATGGAATAAAAAGAACAATGTCAAAACCTTAAAGTGTCTAAACCTTAAAGGTTTTACTTATTTAGACACTACATTGTATGTTCATAACTGAAAATAGACCCGCATTTTCAATGACAGCTGCCAGGATGTAGTAATGTTTCCATGTGAATATTTTTACTTGGATTTTATCACAAATTACTTAATATCCATATGATGAATTTTATATACCTAAAATTGTATCCAGGCACATTTTTGGAGAATTATAAGAGATGTCATATAGTCAAAGGTTAAAGTCTCAGGGTCCATATATCTCTTTATGTGATCAATTTAGCAGGGTATGGAAAATGTAGCCAAAATATCAATATCATTCATTGTCTTTTAATGTTAAAATAATTTATAATGGTGTTTGGCTTTGCTTTTTGCCTTTTTGAGGCAGGTTCTTGCTCTGTAATACAGGCTGGCCTTGAATTTACTATGTAGTCCAGGCTGGCCTTGAACTCCCGGCAATCCTCCTGCATCGCCCTCCTCAGTGCTGGCTTTATAGGCAAGCACCATCACGCCCAGTTTAATCCATAGTTTCTTAAAATTCTGAGACTAAATTATAGTTTTATGTAATTCATGCATTTAGGGTAATGAGTTTTTTTTTTTAATCCATTGCATTTGCTACTGGAAATAGATATTCTGTGGCTGTACTGTCCAGTGCAGAAGCCACTAGCCATGTGGGGCTTTTTACATTTAAATTTTAATTAATGAAAAATCCACAAAATTCTAGCCAAATTTCAGTGCTCAATCACCACAAATGAGGCTTTATTATTGGACAGCTTGAATGGAGTTTTCACCATCAGAAAGATGTATAGCAATGCTCTACAGAATTAAAGATGTTAGCAACAGGAATTTAGCCCTAAGAGAATATTACGAGGAAATTCTACAGATATGCCACTACATTTTCAAATGGTTGGGCTTTGCAAAGATCAGCGTAAAAGCCTCACCTATCTACCTTGTTTTTGCTTAACTTGATTTTGCTGGAGATCATACCATTCTGTTTGCCCATAAGAAGAGCTTTGGGTGTTAAAAATGAAAGCACAAAGGAGACAGAGTCCATACCCTGTAACACACCCTCCCTTCCCAGCTCTCCTTCATGAGACCCCTGACTTAGAATGTGGATCTGGTGTCACGTCATTCATCATCCCGTCTTTCTCTGCTCTGTTTTTCTTGCTTTCTTTTTTTTTTAAATGTTCCCTTGTTTCCTTCACCTGCCCCAACCCACACATGTAAGTCTGGAAACTCAATGGATCGCAGAACATCTTTTGAGAAAATTGCACAGAATATGGTAAGTTTTATTTTTGGAGGAATTACAAATCATTAAGTGAAATGAAATTTTCCCAATTTCACTATTTCTAGCCCCATTGCTAATCTAGCATTATTTTTTTACGTAACAGCAAAATATAATTCTCAGACTGGGGATGTCATTCAGAGCTAGAGCAGTTGCCTAGCGTGTGTGAGGCCCTTAGTTCAATTCCCAGCATTGCAAAAGAAAAAAGAAAAAAGAAAAAGAAAGGAAGCCAAAGTATTGCCTCTATTCAAATCCAGAACTTCATGCTCCTGCCTTACCTTTCTGTCCCAGCCCATTGTAGAATTGGTAAAAATGTCACACATGAACAACTACATGTGTCAAACTAAGGATTGGAAAGAAGTGTATATAATGATATATTAAAGAAAGGTATAACAATTATTATTTATATTTTTATTCCATGTATCCTTTTTCTTATTAACGATAATGCATGCATTTCTACGCTCTTACCCTTAAGCTTTCCTTAGACTTAAAAATATAAGAACAAAGAAGGTTCTGTGATTTGTACCTCTGCACAGAGAAAATGATCTAATAAGCAGTTTAAAGCCAAAGAATTTATGTGAATAATGGTTGGTGACGAGATAATGTCCCACTAAAGGCGCACTAGCATGCCTTCTTATTCTTTATTTTTCAATAATGTGTTGATAACTGTTGCATAAGTCATCTAAGAAACGAGCAGTTTTCCTGCCAGAGTTTGCTTATTACCTTGCCGTGTGTTTTGGTGATATATATTTGTTTGTGGGTTTTTTTTCCATTTATTTATTTAGTTTTGTTGTTGTGCCAGTGCCTTTGGGACTTTTGGACATTGTGTAAGCACGAACTAAAGCCTTCAACACATTTATCTTTATAGGGCAGAAACATCCCTATTTTCCCATGCCATAAAAACTGTACACCAACACTGAGAGCCAGCACTAACCTGTTATGAAAAGAGGTAGAAACATCTCGGTTTATACTCAAGTTTGTCTGTATCGTCCATTGAGCTGTGTGGTTAGCTCCATGCTGCTGTGTGTGTGTGTGCGTGTGTGTGTGTGTTGTGGCTTTTGCTGTGATGACCAGTTTAGTGGAGTTATGTGTGTAAACGTATAAGCAAACTGGATTAAACAAAGATACGGTTTTTGCTTTCCATTTCCTTCAAGGTTCTCTGGGGTGGGGAATGTTACTCCATTTTCCTTTTGAACTGCCTTGTGACTGTACACAGAGTATTTCAAACAGCACTATATACTTTGAACATTCAATGTGACTGCATGAACTAAAGGGATAGAGAAGGAGGGATTCCAGGAATTAATCATACAAGTTGTGGCTTTGTCCACTGGAATCTTCGTCCTTTAATGTAGAATTTTCTTAATTGTGTCTCTGAAGTCACCATGGAGAGATAAAGACAATATCAAAAAATTCCCTGAAATTTTACTGGAAAAAGTAGCTGTAGGATATTACAAGGTACTCTGTGTATTAGTATTTCAAATTAATCACTCTCTAGTGTAATGCTTATAAAATATTGCTTTTGAGATTATAATGAAATTTTCTGTGATAAAATTAGAACAGTAACACAACCTGGGAAGATCGGATTGGGAAGTAAAAGAATTATCTCCTCTCTAATGAATGCCAACCCAAGTCTGACCCACTTCCCAACTCTTAGAATAGTACACATTGTCACACATGGCAAACTTTAAGTGAGAATTAATGGAAAATAAAGGGAAGCCTGGACTGATCAGTCACATTTTCAATCAAAATTTGTGCAAGTACCGAGGGTATTCCAAATACTTTGCTAAATCCTGGGAACATGTACAAGGTATAAAGCACGAATGAAAAGATAGCTGATGGTTTAGAGAAAACGTTACAATGTAAAGAGAAAAGTAAACTACTTGGTGTTCCGGTAGAGAGGGAGGACCCCTATGTAATGTGAGAATTCCCATAGAGAGAATCATTTATCTGGATGAACAGAATTTCAGTAGGCCTAGAGATGCAAAATTTTTAAAAAAGAAGAAGATATAGGCTAAAATTGTGTAAGAAAAAATATGATACACAGACACACACACACACACTTACACATACATTGAAATGTTCCTCCACATTTTCATGACTTTTAGGTTCAGCATCTATGTCAGGCAGCCTACATATTTATACACTAGATCCTCTAGGACGCTTTTATGAGATCAGCAGAATAATTTCAATGCAAGATGAATTTGTGAGTATATTATAATCAGACAAAATGGAGAAAGATGGAATTTACATACACATTTTAATGGAGTCCTATTTTCAAGTTGCCCTGGGAGATGCAAGGAGGCTAGTAGATAGACAGTATCCTAAACATTTTTCTATCTCAATGAGGAAAATATGGATAAACAAGTATGCACCTACGAAGGGAACTAGGAAAATGAGATAACTCACTTTCACTGGCTACTCACCATGTTCTGAGCTCTGTACCATCACCTTATATTAAACTAATTTAAATTAATCCATTCACTGACCCATCAAGGTAGGTGTTATATTGATTATTTTACCTGTTTTCTGTTAAATATCTGACAGGTCAGGGGAAGTATATCCTTTGCCCAAAATTGCATACTGTAGGAGATGATGTTGACCCAAAACTTATTTTGTTTGCACATTGTTTCTTTTTTCACCAACAACCTGGCTGATCCTTGATATTCTATCTGATAGAGGATACATTCTGCAGAGCAGTGATATCCTCTTCTTCAGCTTGAATCCATTTCAGTTTATGTTCATTTTACTGAGTTTATTTACCTTTTCCTGAATAGTATTTTAATAACCTGGGTAATAGACATGGCATCAGTTGTTTCTGTTTCATCCCAGAGCCAAAAATTTTCCAGCCACCTCTTCCCAACACCTTTAGAACTTCTGTAACTCAAATTAATAAACACATTAGAGCATAATTATGACAAGTAGCTGTGGGTTGCATAGTATTTTCAACCTTCCAAGGACATCTATTTTTCTTTGCTGATTTTGTTTTGTTGTTATTTATGTACACAGCAATCCCAGGAGGGAGGTAGTTGGGCAGAAATTACCTCACTTTCATAGATGAACAAATGAAGGAAATAAGCAGAGGCTACTTCACCAATATCATTCAGTGTTTAAGTGTTAGAGCCAGGACTGGAAGCAAAATTTTCTTACTTTAAATCGGTTACTCTCTGTAGATTACTTTTATTCTTTCCACTATGTCTAAAACAGGTGGGATAAGAATAACTCACATTTATATAATGCCTTCACCTTGGCTGCTGACTCAAAAAAAAAAAATCTAATTTCCTGTGACTTATTATTTTATGTCTTTATTTTCCTTGCCATTTCACAAGTCTCTTAAGGTCTGTCCTTCAAAGATTACTATGACTTTTCATGCCTTTAATTTTTTTTGTACTAGGTTATTTGTGTTATTTGTATTAGGTTGATGTCTTCATGTTTTGACAAAGTTTATATGATTTACTAATTGTGACAATAGTTTTCTTCCTCTCTTATCACCACCAAATCCAGTACCATTTCTCCATTGGTTAGACTATCATCACAACCTCTGTGTGCCACACTAATCTTATAAAGGAACAGAGAGAAATAAGGGGAAATAGTGTAGTAGGATTGATCACCTATGACTTTAGTCAAGATTTATAAATCAAGTGCCAACTTTATGACTCACCTCCTCTCCTTAGTTTGTGTGCAGGAAAATAAATCAGCCTGAATTGGGGCTACAAAAGTAGAAATGAATAGTAGAGAATATTATTGTTGAAGTCCCAGAAATTCTAACCTCTTTTGGGGAATAGTTTTATCCTTTTTCTACAGACAATTATCTGCAAAATCTTTCTTTAGAAGATTCAGTAAAAAATGCTAATATAGTTTTCTTGGCTGTAGCGTCCCTTCTGCTGATACTTAAATTAAAGTGATTTGAGGTTTTCAGTTATCTTCCAGACACTACAGTGTAATTACTAGAAGTGGTGGAGACTTCAGGAGAGGTTTGTTTGTTGTTGTTGTTTCGGTTTCTTTTCAATCTGGGAGTGGAATTTAGGGCCTTGCACTTGTTGGGGAGTTCAGTACCACTTAGCTAAACCTCCAGCCCTACTTCACTAAAGATTAAGGGCAGGATGAGGTTTGCTCTTCCAGCATTAAATCTGTATTTAACCCTAATAATAGGAGAAATACAAATATGACCCATGTAACTTTTTTAAAGTATTAAAAATGAGAAAGATATAAAACTGAGTTCTTTACCATGTTGTTTTGATTAAAGCAAATTAAGTTCTTTATCCAAACTCATAATGGAGTTACCAGTTCATATAGCCTTATGCAGATTTTCCATCAGTAGAAAAGTGTGATAAAATGAGCAAAGTCCTGGGAGTGTGATGTGTTCACATGTAGGTGTGAGATCTATTTTTACGCTTTCTTTTTTTAGTGTGTGTGCTGATGAAGCGAGCACAAGTTTTATACTTTCTTACACTGTGAATTTTAAAAATAATTTAAGCTGCTGAACCTCAGTTTTTCCATCTATAATCTCTCTAGTTAGACATGGCTCCAACTAGCACTTTTTACAAATATATGTAAATATTTTAAAAATAAGATAACAGTATATGAGGTTTGAAACACACTTAACTCATTTAAAATGCAATTTAAGTGTTTTCCAATTTCATATTCTTCTACATGACTCTACTTTTTAACCACACAAAATTCCTTTGCATATCTATATGCATAATGTATTTTTCTAATCCTCTACTGCTGGACATTTAAGCTGTCCTTTATTTATTATTGCTGCTATAGGTTGATTATGTAAATACTGTTCAGGTTAAATACTTATTTTCTTCTTGTAATATATTCATAAAACTGAATTTCTTAGTTAAGTGTAATTCAAACTTATAAGGGAAGAGATATGCCTTTATCTATTTTTCTCTCTCCTTTATCTTTAGTTTTACCCCACACATGAGCATATCTCAGAGGGGAAAATAACTTACTCTCTGCAGTGGGAATCAGACTTTGTTTTCCTAATTTCCAAAACCACTCGTGATAGATATTCATGACAGTCCTCTCCTGCCAACTGATCCTTAATCGTGAAGACTCATAATCAGTTTCTGAGAAGCTTAGCTTGTTTTTGAAGTTACTGTCAAACACATTAGGAATTGTTTCTAGTCCCTGGTTAAATGATTTTTCACTTGGTTTTTATTAAATGTAAACTCTACTGTGAAACAGCCACCAACATTGCAAACTGTGAGCCACTCTGTTCAGCCACTGGAACCCTAGGAATAACGCACATATATTGTTGCTGTGGAATTTGCTCAACATGAATAATACCAGTAAAAGACATTACCTGTAACCGAGGGTTCAATTCACACGTTATAATTACATCATTGCTTCATATACCATATGCTAAGTCTTTAGGCATTCATCAACATGTATTTAGTTTGGGGGCTGAAGCTCAGTAGTACAGCTCTTGCTTAGCATACGTGAGGCCTTGGTTCCATCCCCAGCACCACAAACAAAACAAAATAAAACAAAAATACAGTCTGTCTGTCATGACTTTCAATGTTTATGATATCAATTTCTATGGCAGTTAAATAGAAACAAACAGTTAAGTGTTTGGAAAGGTCATTTTTACATTGTATTCATGCTCATGAAGTTGCAGCATAGTAAGACCTCCAGGTAGCAAGTCAGATACTCAATATACACAAGCACCCACTATCATGGCAGATTGTCTGCTTCATATAAATATTTATCATAGCAGACAAGCATGTTAAAAACTATGAGAATGGAGGTTTTGATTTTATATCTATGTCCCTGTGAATTCACCTTAAGCAAGATTTTCTGCATATTCTTTCCTAGTGAAATGCTATCCATTATTTCAATTACAATTATAGGTATATTAATATAGACAGACTATGTTAGAAAATTCTTATGCCATCTTAAATGAGAATAATTTATGAACTTGTCATTGAACTTTCCCACCAG